TATATCTCATTCTAATTAATTTCTAACTTTAAAAATAAAACTATATATAACAAGTATAATAAAAATATTATGATTTGATTTCTCTTTTAATAATTGGTTTAATTTGTAAAAATCGTAAGAATTAAATCGTAGGTCATATGATTTAATCATTTTTTTTTACATTTACATTTTATTCAAATATTAGAATCAAATCGTAAGATTTAAAAGGATTAATCTCAAGTCCTTTCAGTTTATTTTTATTATATTATATTTGTTAATAATTTAATTAAAATTATTTAATAATAATGAATATGATAATTAATAATCTATTTAACATAATTTATTATAATCATTTTACACTTTTGTTTATGTTATATTATATATATTCATTGTCATAATAATCTTAACTATAAATATATAAATATAAATAACACTGTAAAATATTATAATAATTGTATAACTAATGTTTTATAAATTATTAATTGTCATGTTGACTATTATTAATATCAAAAATCTCGACTAATAACAAATGCATATATATTTAATTTTTTAAAATATAAAAAAAATACGATTTAATTTAAAAAAAAAAGATTGAATTTTGATTCTTTTTTAATTTTGAAATTTTGAAAAATTTCTCAATTATCATTTTCACTTATTAAAATACCCATAATCCAATCTTCACAATTTTCATTTTATTTAGTTCATGTCTCAAGGTCTTAATCGATTCATATCTTTCTAAAAAAAATTCGTGTTTAAATTATATTTTTAATTTTTAATTAAAGTTAATCTCAAGTTTTTTCAACTTTCAATTTTTTTTTTCTTTCTTATAAAAAAAAATTATAGTAAAAAATAAAAAATAAAATGAAAAACCGGTTTGGACCAGGACCCGACCTGGACCCGCCCCAGACCCAGACCCGCCTCCCCACGGGTCGGTTTTGGGTCCACTAAAAGTCGGACCCGGACCCGGCAGGTCCGACCCGGACCCGACCTGCCCCGTGGCCATGTCTACTTTAAGTTGCTCAGGGGGTCTATCAAATTAAGATTGAACTTTGGGTTTTTTAATAGGACAAAAGCAATTGAACCTGGCACTATATATGATAAGGAACGTCAAATTGGATTCGAATTGCAAAATAACTATTTAATTCGGAGAAGAGTTATTAGTGGGCATTGGTGGAAATATCGAAAGAAATTATGGAAAAATAAGGGTTTTCTACGAACTCAAATTGTATTTGAGTACGAAACGAACTCTATCTCAAGCGAAACGGCCCAAGGAACAAAACTCATCAGCATAGCTCATGAATCACGTCGAATTTCAGCAATCCAACGTCGTTCAAACTCCTAAAAGTTTGTTTTTGCTATTTTAGGCAAGTTTTAGAAAATTAATATCAAATCATAGAAAAATCGTATTAGGATTCCGTAAATTGGGTTGTTCCCAAAATTACGAGATCTACTAGAATTAGGATCTAACTCATTTTTGCCGGTTTTTGTAATTTTTAGTATTTTCTTAGTTTAATTAGGGTTTTCAGTTTTTTTAGTAGAAGTTGATGCCTCAGGAGTTAGGACATTATTTTGGGAATAATTTCGAATTTTAATAAAATATTTACTATTTTCTCTATTTTTCTTCTAGATTCTAGAGTTTTCGGTGGATTTCGAATGTTATTTTGTTCTATAGGATTAATTCGTAGAAATTAATTTTTTGCACGTGCTTCCGTTTTGCATCAATATATTTCCAAAACTAGGGGTCACGTTCACTGGCGAATCCAGGATTTTTGCCAAGGGGGTTCGAAATTGTAAAAAAAAAAATTATATCACTTTATAAAAATTTACAAACTTTAGGTGAATTGTTGAATTATTTAAAGAAAAAAAATGTGAAAATGTTAAGATTTGAAAAAGAAATTATAAAAATTTACAAATTTTAGGTGAATTGTGGAATTAAAATGTGAAAATGTTAAGATTTGAAACAAAAATTATAAAAATTTACAAATTTTAGGTGAATTGTGGAATTATTGAAAAAGAAAAAATGTGAAAATGTTATGATTTGAAAAAGAAATGAAATATTGAGAGGGTGGGAAATCGAACCCGCAACCTATTAGAGGAAGGAGATCTACTTTACCACCTCAACCAATAGCTTTTTCAATAAATATATGTATAACAGTACTATTTGTTTAAAATCAAGAGGGTGCAACTGCACCCCCTAGACCATAGCTAGATCCGCCACTGGTCACGTTTCCCCAAAATTTGAATAACAACCTTCCCTAGTCATAGTTTAAACTCATAAATACAGCAACAACACACAAACTATTAATTAAAGAATAACCAATTCAATATGTGAAGTTACTTGTGATTCAAGTTGTCGCTTGATACAGTCCCTCGCAGGTAAACATGGCCATGGTCCGGTTTCCGGCCCGACCCGTTGACCGGTCAACCGGTATTGGAATCGTGTAACGCCTCGTGTCACTTGGGACGATTTCGGTTCTAGAATAATGTAAACCGTGAACCGTCGGGCCGAACTGGCGGTCCACCCGAATTAAAAAAAAACAAAAAAGAAGAAAAAAAAAAAAAAAAAAAAAAAGAGTTGCAACAGCTAGTGAACCGGCAGGCCGGTCGGGTTGAACCGGTGGTTTGGGCCGGCCGGGTCGGTTTGAGCCTACTGGTTCATCGAGCGGGAATTAAATTCACAAGTTTCAAATTCAACAGCTGAGATGAATTGACTTTTCGAGGTTAACGGTCCAGGTCAAAATATATATATATATATATATATATATATATATATATTTCTGGACCGGCCCGGTCCGTCGAACCGTGTGTTGTACCGGTCGGTTCTGATTTCTAAAAAAGCGAACCGAGAATCGGCTTTAACCGGTCCATGGCCATGTCTACTCGCAGGTATTTCCTCAGCTATTGTATTAGGGCTAATTGGTACACGCGGAATATATACTACAGTGTGTGGATCAATAATCAATCTCTCAAGCACGAGGTAATTATCTATAAAGTACCTCACAAATTTAACATCTTATCTATAAAGTACCTCACAAATCAATCTCTCAATCACGAGGTAATTATCTATAAAGTACCTCACAAATTTAACATCATTGATAGCCACAAAGTACCTCACAAATCAATCTCTCAAGCACGAGGTAATTATCTATAAAGTACCTCACAAATTTAACATCATTGATAGCCAAGCACGAGGTAATTATCTATAAAGTACCTCACAAATTTAACATCATTGATAGCCACAAAACTTGACGTTGCATCGAGTACGCTAGACACGGCCACGGGCCGGGTTAGACCCGGACCCGACCCGACGACTGCCCCACCACGCCCCATTGACCGTTGACACGGAAGCGGACCCGCCAATATATGGATCAATTTCGGCCCGCATTTTCAGGACCCAAGACCTGATGGGTTTATGCGGCAGACCCGGCCCGAGGACCCTACCCGGGACCCGGATATTTTTTGTAGCATTTTTGCCCAAAAATGCTTTAGAAGTAGTCCGAACTCGGGACAATTACAAGAGGAATGCATATACTTACCACTGGGCAAAACAAGAATGTTTAGTAAATTTGGCAATAAATGTGTATAATATAAAACTTCAATGTAAAATGATTTAATAGGTATATAAAGATGTTAAATAAATTATTAATTTGCATATACATTATTATTAAATAATTTTAATTAAATTATTAACAAATGCAATATAAGAAACTTTTAAAAATATATATAGAATCACGGTTTAATACTACCAAACATCTATTATTAATTACTATATTCAATATAATCTTCATTATTGAAAAAAAAAAGGTATTGAATCAATTCAATAGATAAACATATGCGTTGAATTAATACAAACTCACTTATGTTATTAAAATCGATATTGTGAAAAGATCGAATGAAAAATAAAATAAGATGTTTATTTAAAACAATAGATCGATTATAACTCATTTCAATTAATTTAAATTGATTAACCTTAATTATTGACAAGAACTTATTAAAATTATTGATTATTTCATCACAAGACAATTATTGACAAGAACATATTTATAACAAAAACATAGATGATGTTTATTTTAACAAAAATAGATTATAACTCATTCCAATTAATTTTCCTACGTTAAGAATAAAACTATATATGATGAGTAGAACCAAAATATTATGATGTGATTTTTCTTTTAATAATTGGTTTAAATTGTAAAAATCGTAAGAATCAAATCGTAGATCATATATTTAATTATTATTTTTACATTTACATTTTATTCAAAATTTGAATCGAATCGTAAGATTTAAATGGATTAAACTCAGTGTTTTCAATTTATTTTATTATTATATTATATTTGTTAATAATTTAATTAAAATTGTTTAATAATAATGAATACGATAATTAATAATCTATTCAACATTATTTGTTATAATCATTTTACACTTTTATTGTATGTTATATAGAGTTTTTGCATGTTATTTATCGAATATGTAACTCGTCTGGTTAGGAATGTGATTCACTTCAAGGGTCCCCAGTTCAAAACCCAATTAAAGCATTTTGAACAAAAAAAGAAATATCTGGTCCGGACCCGACAAGACCCGAGTTGCTCTGACCTGGACCCAGACCCAGACCCGACCCAGCCCGTGGCCGTGTCTATGCCCTGCCCTGTTTAACAGCGAGTACGTGTTTTAAAAATTTCACCCGGGGTACGTGTTTTGAACATATGCACTCTTACCCTCTTCGTATCCAACCGTTTATATATATTTTCATACTATAACAAAGATATTTTAGTTAAATAAATTATATAAAAAAATTATATTTTTTTACGGGTACGAGGCGGTTTTATATGGAGTCAGGGGAGGGTTTAATAAATCAAACCCGGAACAACTATGGGACGGGACGGGTATGGGTGAGAAGTTTTCTGGCAGGGCAGGTGCGGGTTTACCAAAATCCGTACTGTACCCGCCCCATGGCCATGAACGACATAAGTATTATATATCACTATAAAATTGATAGCTTTCAAATGAAGTACATGACAGCAAATATTAGAAATGCTTTCAACATCCAGTAATATCCATAATCAAAATAACAAAACTTAGTCATCAAAATAACATAACTTAGTGATAGTTTAAACTCATAAATACAGCAGCACACAAACTATTAATTAAAGAATAACCAATTCAATGTGCGCAGGTACCTGTGATTCTAGTTGTCGCTTGGCGCAGTCCCTTGCCGTTACTTCTTTAGCTAATTTAGCAGGGCTAGTTGGTACACGGGGAATATATACTAGACCGTGGGGATCAATAATTAATTTCTCAAGCACGACGCAGTTATCTATAAAGTACTTGACAAATTCAACATCACTGCTACGACCATAATAGCCACAAAACTTGGCCACTTTAAGGTGCTCGTGGGGAAACCTTACACTACTTCCAATTTCTCTATCTGACCTTGAAAGCTCTAGCCACCTTAACTGCATTTGATGGAAACAAAACAATAGATAATTTGTTCCAGCTAATAAAAATGAAAATAAAGATTCTATGGTTTATTTCTTTGTTTTGTATTAAAAACTACGGTGAGGAGGTATTACTTTTAAAACAAATTCCTGCAAATAAGGAGATGCCTTGATCAAAGAAGTCAGTGCTATGAGACTTCCTTCACCCAGTGTCCAATACTCAATCACTAGCTTCTTCAACCTAGGCATTTCGGGAAACTTGCACAACACCGTACTTCCCTGTAAAACGAAAAGAGGGGGGTTATATAATGCATAGATAAAACAAGAGAATAAAGAAAACAATTCAATTATCTAACCTTCAAGTTGCTCAGCATCAGGGTAAGACTCTCTAGTTGTGAAATGCAGGAAGAGAGTAGTAATCTTTCGACAGAAAACTCACAGTAACCGCAAGCAACAGTCAACTCATCAAGCATTGGAACATTATCAAGAATGAGTTCCTTATATACCTTAACTGAGAGTGAAGTAAGATTTGGTGCTGAAACCTTAACAGAATCCAAACCAAATAGCTCCAAGTGTTTCAACGCGAGGGATGAACCACAAACTTCAAGAGTTGATATCTTTTTTGTTTTGTGGACAATCAAATTTTCAAGAAACGGGCAATTATTCAAAAAGAACTCAATAGCTTCGCGAGTCACGGTAACAAATCTAAAAGACAACTCTTTGAGGTGCTTAAAACCGAAACGTGTGCGAGTGTGATGGTTGCTTTCAGTCAGCAACTCTTGAGGGAAAACGTAATTTAAGTCAGTACGGCCAAAACGTCTCGAATTTGCAGCAGAAAGGTCAAACTCCAACCTCTGAACTTGTCTGGCAAGCGCATATTCGAGCCACTTAGTTAGTACTATATGAGATGGTTCGCTTAAATCAAAACATATTCTGAACTCTCTCAATGTGACAGCTCTATGCGATTGCAGGACGGAGTTCACCCATTCTACGTACTTGAGCCCCTCCTCCATCTCTAACTCCCTTTCCCTTGCAAGCTTGCACATTGAATTCTCTGCATCGAAGTCGAGGGAAAGGGTGTGTTTCCACAAGTTCGTCCACCGCGAAGAAAGAATACTTGCACGTGCAGCTTCCTTTAGCGATAACAAAGACAATATAACAACAAGAATGTCATCCGGCAACTGACTTATCCGATCATCATCACCAACACACTATCAACAAAATAAGATACTCAATTATATATATAAACAATTTTCGGTAAAAAAAAATAATACAACCATCAAAATATATTCCATACTGAACTTAATTTCTAATTCCAAATTGAAAAGGGAAAAAAAAAAAAAAAAAAAGCTGTTGAGAATTTCTCAGAATAAAACATAATAGAAGAAGCAACAGCTTTTGTGAGAGCTCTCACCGTCTTGGGTTGAAATTTCCAATCAATACCGACTTGCTTCGCCACCATCAAGATTCGACTCTTTCAGCACAAAAACCTCACACAATTGCTAGACAAAAAAGATAACTGAGGTGTATTTCAATTTGGGTTAACGAACTTCACAAAGAAACAATAGCTTTTTGGGCCGTTGCTCTTAGAGCCCTCATTGGGCCTCACATACATTATTTTTGTATATAAAATTCAGGGGAAATTAAGGGTTTATTTTACATGCACCGTGGATACCAAATAAATTAGAGATAAACCCAAGTTAAAATTATTCTTTGACATACCTCTGAAGAGGCGACAGTACTATACTACCCTTATATGTAATTTTCGGCCAAACTGCATTAAGCATTTCTGGTCCTACATTTAGCATTTTCGTTGATTTATATTATTATTATTATTATTATTATTATTTTTTAACCTGTTTGTTTAATTTATATACTTTTTTATTTCTTTAATTTTTTTAATTTTTTTTTTAATTTTTGTTTAAATCAATATGTTTACTGTACTGAAAATAAGTATATATAACTGTAATAAACTATAGTAATTCGTAGTTATGTTCTTTTTTTTTTCACCCCATATTTTTAGTCGATCAATTATATATACACACCGCATACTGACTTATATAAAAGAAATTCATAAACCCCAACAATTTTTTTTACAAATTTCAATATTTTTATTATAAATCACCCCAGAACCAATAAAATACAAATCGAAAATACACAAATATATGCATATGTAACTACATATTACTATTTGTAACCACTAATATATAGTAATGTACAGTAATGTATACAAGTAATGTATACAGTCTGTTGAACACTGTAACTTGAAGCATATGTAACTTCAACCATAATTTTTGACACCTTCAACGAGAGGATCAATGGCTTTCATTAAGCTGCAATTACAAAATCAAAACAAAAAAAAAATATTTTAGTGCAAATCAACAAAAATTAAAGAAACATCAAACACTCAAAAATCAAGAAACACTACGGGATCAAGAGATATATAGAGAGAGAGGCCATAGCTGAAATGCTGCGAGTTTTAGACCAAATCGCCAATGATTCCTCATCCCAAACGCCTCCTATCAAAACCCTAGCCGTCGCTAACCACCCAAGGTTCCGCACTCACAAATGAAAAAAAAATATAGAAATAAATCTGACAATAAAAAAATGAATGAAATTTCCAACACAATATAGATCTCGATGAGAGGAATCCAACGGTGGGTAGCCCGTCAAATTCCGACTGCCGGAACACAAATTACACCTCCGGCAAGACCCACGTCGTTGAAATAAGCACCGACTGTAAAACGATTGAAGAAACAGATCGAGTGCTCCAAAACTGAATGAAATCACCACCAAAAGAAAGAGCTCGACGAGAGTAATCAAACGGTAGTTAAACCATCGAATTACGACCATTGGAGAGAGAGTTATAACTCCGGGAAGCAACTTCATCGGTTGGTGATCTATGGGGCGAGATTTAGATCTGGAATTGAGAGAGGAAGATAGAGACCAATATGATTTGGCTAGGGTTTAAAACTGATTTAAAAGGGTATTCTGGATACTTCAAATCTGCCCGAAGGGTATGTCAAATTATTATCCAAATGGAGGGAGTTTGCACTAGGATGTAAACGTCATGGTGGTTAGTTATATATATTTTCAATATGAAGGGTTTTTCCAAAATAATCCCTAACTATATATAAGTATTAACAATCAAAAAATTTTTAATTAGAAAACACGCCGGAAAATGTAAATTGGGGCGAAGTGTAACTAGAAGAAAATTCGGAAGGTGGAGAATCTCATTTTGTTTAATTTGAGGGGTGGAAAATGCAAAAACATGAGAAATTTTTAGGGTGTGAAATGCATTGTGTCATTGTCTTCCTTTTTTTAGTGGGATTATTACTGATGACCCCCTCTAGCTTTTTTATAATAAAAGTAGATCCACCCTTATTTTCAATAATAATAGTAGGTCAGTTTTTTTTATATTCCAAATTTGTCCCTATCCACTAGTCAATTCCCACCTCCCGCTACTCATTACTTGATTCATTTTTATATTTATATAAATATTATTTTTTTTATTTCAATTTTTATATTTATATAAATATTATATTTTATTTCCGTTTTTATTTATTGAATTATAAAAAAATAATAATTCTTGTAAAAAAAATTGTAATAAAAATTAAATTTTTTTATTTTTTTTCCAGCCTTTTTCCCCCCTTTTTTCATAAATCAACTAAATTGTTTTTAAACATTTTAATTAATTTTGAATATTTTTTATTTGTAATTTATTTTTCTTTTCTTTCCATAATCAACAACAAAAATTTCTTAATCAACTATGATTTTCATTTTTTTAGTTTTTTTACACAATCAACTATAAAATTATGGTAAACAACTAAAGAATTATGGTATTCAAGGTTTACTATTATCAAAATTAACTATAAATTATCGAAATCACTATAAAATTATCGAAACTAACTACAAACATGTCGAAATCGACTACAAAATTATCAAAAACAACTATAAATTATCTAAATCAACTAAAACAAATATCAGTATTTGAAACCAACTAAAACAAATAGCAGAATATGAAAACAACTAAAAGTGACGAAAACAACTATTTTCTTATGCGAGATACCCAACACAATTTCAAAAGCAAAAGAAAAAAAAAAAGCAAAACGATGGCCACATTGGGGCTGAGATGACGGCGGCGTGGATAAGCCTCGTTAATGGCGTAATCGAAAATCTAATCGGAAACCTTGGTATCTCTAACCGCCAAAATTTTGATGGATCTAGGGCAGGGGCAATGGAGTGCGAAGGCGGCGATTCTCCATGAAGATGCAGTCCAAGGTTTCTGCATCCTCCTCGGGGTCGATTGATTCCATCACCAAGCAACTCTAGCAGTGGTGGTTGGGGCACCAGAGTCGCAACAGTTGGAGGCGGGATCTCGGCGGAAAGGGGCACGACAGCAGTGGTGGCTAAGGCACAGAGCGGGGCGGACGAAAAAAAATAGAGGACAGCTGGTGGAGAGAAAAAAGGAGATGAGAGAACATAAATAGGGTTTCACGTAATTAGAGATTTTAAATATAAAAGATATAATGGCAAATTAGGATTATTGAGTATTAGTTTATTAAATATTTATTTTATTAAATAACTAAAAGGGGATTTCACAAATATGTAAAAGAGGGTGGGATCCATTCTTATTAATTCAATGTTTTCAGAACCGGACCGGACATAAAATCGGCTAGGCATTCGGGTCACGGTCGGACAGTTTAACCGGGTTCAACCCGGGTTTTTTATTTTTTGTTATTTTATAATTATTTATAAATTTTAGTACTTTAAAATTATTTTTTTTCTATTTATTTATATATTTGACTCCATTTCTTCACTATAAATACAAATTTCTCTATTTATTTATATATTTCAAACAATTTTTTACTTTATAATTTTTCTTATTAATTAAATTCACTTGTCCTTTTTTCTCTCTCTTGATTTCCACGCCACATCCTTCCCCTTCCCCTTCCCCTTCCCCCTACTCTCTCTCTATCTCTCTTCTCTCTCTCTCCTCTGCAAATCTTCAAAGCAATCTGCCCTCTTTTTTTACTCTCCCTTTTTCTTTCTTTCCCAATTTTCTTCTCTACACATCTCTTCATTTCCGGCGACATAGTAACTAGATCCGATTTTAGTCGACGTTTATCGGCCTTCACCCCAAGAACCGGCATTTACAGTCCAAATCCGCCCATCCAACACTTCGAAAAGCACCATTTCAGACAAAAACCGGGGTCTTCCATCGGTTTCCGGTTCTCCGGTTTTTCCGATCGAACCGGCAGTTTTTACTCTCTGACCCCGGTTTTTGATTTCTCCGGTTTTCATCGTTGAACCAGACCGCCAAGATGCCGGGTCGCGGTCGAACCGGTCGGACCGGCCGGTCCGGACCGGTTCTGACAACCATGCTTATTATACTCAACTAGCATTTTTTCCTTGTGCGATGCACGGGATATTATTTAAATAGTGAAAAAAATAATCAATTTAATACATAATAAGAAAATATAGTACACTAATATAATAAAATTAATAATGTAGTATTATTCATATTGAATTTGTAACACCCCACCTTTCCAAAACCCGAAAATCCTAAAACCCGGGATTAATATTCCTAACTCGAGAACCCTTAGGAAATATTATTACGTGATTATATGCATTACGTGAATTTAACTATACTACTTACGTGAATAATTACATGTGTTATTACATGTGTGATTTATATGATTTAAATTTTCGTAAATTGAAATCCTAGGAATTTCGTGCATTACGTGAATTATGTGAATAATTACGTATTTTATTTGTTTGATAAAATTACTTGGTAAATTATGTGGAATATATATATATATATACCTATATGCACACGTACATACATGCATGCATACTTATACATACATATATGCTAATATTTACATTATGCATTTAAATATATAGATATATATATATATATGTCCGAAATTGTGTGTGTGTGTGTTCGGGTGATGTGTGTGTGTGTTAAGATGCAAGTTGTGATTTGAATTAAATAAATAAATTATGTTAATTAGGCATGCACTTACACTTGGCAAATACTAATCATTTTACCTAAGCCTACACTCAACACCCTCATTAGTGAGATGAAGAGACACCCTTCATCTCTCTTCTTCCAACACCTCAACCATCACTTGTCTTCCTCTTCTCCTTCCACCGAAGCCATCACCACCACCATCGGCCTCTCCTCTCTCCACCTCACCTAATAATTTCAAAGAATTTCCAACATAAAAATGAGAGTTCCTTATTTAACTCTTGCCATAGACTACTCCAAAAATACCATCAAAACCACTTGCCTCCTTACGGGAGATCACAACTCCTCCCTCCTTGAAGCTCACACCATTTCCTTCACAATCAAGGTGGCTTGGTTGGACTTCGGTGCTTGAAAGCCCCCTCCCTTTCGGCTATTTTCTTTCTTCGATTTTAAGGTAAGAAATTCGATTTCTTGCTGCAATTAAGGGACATCAATAGTATTGAAAGGATTTTCATGAAATTTTAAAAGATTGGGGAAGATTTCGAAAATTTAGGGCTTTT